CTCGTGGACCAACTGACCCAACGAGACCAGCGATCCAACTGGTCCAACTGGGAACTGACTCAACATAAGAAGACAATTTCTGCTTCCTCGTCCTGTGAGTTCATCCCCAGCCAATCACAAGACCCAACTGCCTAGCCCTTTGCCTGCCAAACTGTCTTTGAAAACCCTTTCTCTCAAATTCTCAGGGAGACGGATTTGAGAAATTCCTCCCGTTTCCTCGCATGCCGCCTGTGATCTTAAACTCTTTCTGCACGGTCACTCCTGCTGTCGCAGCGCATTGGCTTCCTCTCGAGCGGCGGGCAGTGAGCCTGGCTGGCTGCACCAACACCGACGAACCAAGGTGAATACGATAAAGGTCTGACCCTGATAAACTCAGAATGTTTCTCGGGAAAGATGGTCAAGTACACAGAGAGTAAGAACAGAATATGACAAACTCAGGGACGTGTGTGTTTGGGAGAGGGCAACAGACAAGTAAGTATGAAAATACATGGCATGTCAAATAGTAACAAAGGCCCCATGGAAAGGAAAAGCAGGAAAAGAAGCCAGCTAGGGGGAGAGAGAGAGCAATGCTATTGTAAACAGGATGGTGACATGGTGACGTTCGGGCAGAGATGTGTAGGAAGTGAAGGACGAGCCGGCATCATCTGGGGGAAGAGGAAACTGCAAGTGCAAGAGCCCTGGGGCAGGAGCACGTCTGCCGTGCTCCAGAAAACTGCTAGGAAGCCACTGTGGCTGCAGCACAGTGACCAGGGAGGGGGCGGGGCGGAGGGATGCCAGAAAGCTGATGTCATTTCCTCTAAGTAAAATGAGGAGCCGTTGGAGGGTGCTGAGAGGAAGAGTGACTTAGGTTTTAGGAGACCCACTCTGGCTGTGTGCTGAGAACAGAGCGGCGGGGGCGACAGCATAAGCTGTGAGCGGATTCCGGCGGGGGGGCTATTACGGGAAGCGGGACAAGGAGCGGAGTGTGTGTTTCAAGGCAGGTTCAGGAAGGTATAGTTTACACACAGGAAAATTCGCCATTTTCAGTGCACAGGCCTCTGAGTTTTAATGAACACGTGCAGCTGGGCAGCCACCACCACAATCAAGACAGAGAGCGGGTCCTTCACCACCAAAGGCCCCCCGGTGCTCCTTTGTGGTCCGCGCTTCCCCATCCTAGCCCCGGTTGCCACGCATCTGCTCTCTGTCCCTGCGGTTTTGCCTTTTCCAGAATGTCCTACAAATGCCATCGTACAGTGTGCAGCCTTTGGAGTGCGGCGCTTCCACGCAGCGCGCCGTGTGAGGGTCGCCGTGCTGCGCGTGCTTTGCTCCTTTTCGCTGCGAGGCTGCGTTCCGCCGGGCAGCTGCAGCGTGCTCCGCCGCCCGCCGATGGCTGAAGGCACCGGGCCGCCTCCAGCTTCCGCTGATTACGAATGAAGCTGCAACAACTATTTGTATACAGGGTTTTGTGTTTGTGTTGTTCCTTCTCTTGGAAACCTCCTAGGAGTCGCATTGCTGTGTGTCTGTTAAACTTTGCAAGAAGTGACCAGCCAGTTTTCCAAAGGAGCCCACGTTCCTGCCAGCAACCGGCGAGGGTCCCGGTTGCTCCGCCTCCTCCGCAGCACTTTCCGAGTTTGTCAAACGGAGCCGTCGGAAGGATGCGCGCTTGCCCTTGCTGAGATGGGACTTGGTGCCGGTGGAGCGCCAACTTGGGTGGCAATGTTAGGATTCACTGGGGTCTGTTAAGGTCGAGATGTCTGTGCCAGATCCACGTGGAGACGTTGAGTAGCTAGGTGGACATGCAGGGAGAGCTTTCTGGCTCGAGTCACCCTTCTAGTGATGGTATATGAAGCGTGAAACCAAGCGGTACCACCTAGAGAGTGAGTAGAAGTCTGAGAAGCAGGAGAGAGGCGGGCTTAAAGCAGGCAAGAAGCCTGGAAGGAGACAGCATGTCTCAGAGGGAGGCAGCATCTTGGTCATGTCATCCCACCCATAGCTGCTAAGTCTTGGTTGACTGCCATTAGCAGGTCAAGTTGTAGCCTTATGGTCATGAGATGGCTGCCGAAGTGTGGGCATTGCATCTGCATCCAAGGCTAGAAGGAGTAAAGTGGGAAAGGATGACACCAGCTGGACAAGTCCCTTTTATCAGGAAAAAAAGAAAGTCTTCCCAACTCATTGGCCAACACTTAGTCCCACAGGTACGTGTGACGTGCGGGAGACTGGGAGTGAGCATGTAGATTCCAGCGTTGAAGCTGGAAGACACAAGGGAGAGGAGGTGGAATGGGTCTTGGTTTAGCCAACCAAAGGAGCCTGCCACCAAGGGAAGTCCTGTGGTTAAACGTGTGTTTTTACACGCTTGTTCCGGATGCAGAGTGAAGGGAAGTTGGGAGGTCCCAGGTACGGGGGTGAAAGTCCCCTCAAGGGTTAACAACTGAGGACGGAGCTTGGAAGGAACAGGTGAGGGAGGAGAAGCCAGACCGCACAGCCGGCAGCCAAGGCAGTTCTTTCCGAAAGGACATTTGTCTCTAGGGCCAGATGGTCCCACCCTGCCCTTGGGGAGGTAGGGAGGGCTCTGCAAAGGGCTTTCCTGTGTGGGAAGTTGAAGATGGTCAGAGACACCTGCCCAGGCGTGAGATGTGGCATGCCCTCTCTCGGGGACAGCCTGGAAGCCCAGGGTTGTCTGCCTGCAGCCCCTAGAGACAGGTGACATCGGTGGGACCAAAGTAGTGAGGCCTCCCCACCTACAGTGGTCCACATCTGGGGCCTATTCCTGGGCCAGGCTCCAGCCAAGGAGGAGGCAGCTACTGTGTGTCCAGCAAGGCTTGAGGATGCGAAGTGACCGTGATTCTGAGCGGGGTGCACGAAATACCCACCCGCAGAACCCCCCAAGGGAAGGCTCCCCAAGGAACAAGAGCTGTATGAGCTGGCCCAGCCCTGCAGGGCCTGGGGGGCGACTATGCTTTCAGCTCCTGGCCGCCCGCCCTGACTGGGAGAGGGATCGTGGGAAGTCCTGTTGCACTGGAGAGCCAGGGCCAGCTCCCCACGTCTCACCCCAGCCTGACCCTCGGGCCCCTGGGATCCCACAGAGCCAGCAAGGAGGGCACAGAGGCTACCTGGAGGTGACCTCCCAACTCAGAGAAATCCCCATCCTTGACCGAGCATCCCACTATTTATGGGACGATTCTCTGCCCCCGGCAGAAATTTCGAGGCATCGCTTTCTCAGGGGCTTCTGTAAGGATCCCATTGAAGGGAGTGGCTGGAGGGGCGGGTTAGAGAAACAGGCCTGAGAGCGGAGGGTCAGAGAGCGAAGTGAGAAGGAAGAGACACAGGAAGACAGAGAGGGACCTGAGAGGAGAGGGAGATGGAGATGGGGGTGGGGGCTCTGGGGGCAAAGCAAGGGGGGAGGGCTGGGGGCAAGAGGAGAGACCGAAGGGAGAGACCCCAGGACAGAGGAGGGAGAAAGGAGGAGGAGAAGTGCGGGGAGGGAACACTCAGGGACAGAAAGCGGGGGAAGGGAGGAGCAGAGAGGGCAAGGACAGAGGGGGAAACTGAGGCAGGGAGTGGGGCCAGCAAATAAGGGCTAGCGAGGGAAGGGAGCTGAAGGAAGGCAGGGGTATGGAGAGCCAGAGAGTAGAAAGACGGGTCAAGGAGGGGCCAGGTCGCAGAGGGAGGGGCCGTGGTGACACCCGAGTCACACCAGCATGCCCCAGGCTGGTTCTCTGGCAGGGAGAAGTCCAGTTTTTGTTGTTTATTTGTTTTTTAACAAAACAACCCCGCAGCATTTACGGTGATCTAATAGCATAAAGGTAATCAAAACAGTGCGAGGAAATGTTTGAGCACTGCACTCCCAACAACGACACGACACGCACACAGAAACCCGGGCTGCCTTCTCAAAACTCGCCACTCCCTCGATCCTTTCTAGTGGAGACATTTCGTGGCAAAGGACTATCTCTTTTTTCAGTGTGGTCAGACCTGGTTGTTTCTTGGCTTTGCTTTGGAGGAATCTCTCCCGTACCGGCTACTAAGCGGTTCACCAAAACCAGCCGCAAATCCACTCGCTACAGGGTCGCTGGCAACCACCTGCGCTGGCGGGCTGGGTCGGCCCTAGGGCCCTGGAGCCAGAGCCCGGATGCAGGCGAGTGGCTGTGGGCAGCGGAGCATCAGCCCGGTCGGGTCACAGCCGCAGGAAGCCAGACAGACTCTGGGCCTGGACCAGTGCCCCCGTCCCCCGCAAGCCGTGAGAGCCCAGAGACCTGGGGTCTCTTTGTCCTGCTCCTTCCTCCCCAGGGAGACTTAGAGGATCAGCAGTGAGTCACTCCGAGAATCAGCTCCTGGGGGTGAGGAGCGGCAGACAAGCCTGGGAGACAGAGGGCTCCCCCCGGCGGCTCACCTGGACGGCGGCTCACCTGGACGGCGGCTCACCTGGACGCCTCCCCTCCAAGGCCTGGCCCTCCAACCTAGGCTCCTGGGCCCTGGCTGGGCGGGGAGCTAACACCCCACTCTCCTCGCTGCGTTTCTCCTAGCCAGCCCTATTTGGAATTCCAAAGGGCAGTGGGGGGCCCTCCAACCCTCGCCCAGGCCACTAGAGCCCCCACTCAATTCGGCCGCCCTGGTGGGAGGGGGACAGGAAGGGAGGGCAAGCTCGGGCTGCAAAGTCGGGGTCAGGATGCCGAACCCTAGGTGCAAGCCAGGGGTCCGCTTGAGCCGCAGGTGGAGAGGACACCTGGGCCCCACCAGGCCAACTCCAAGCTCACACCATCCTCCCCTCATGTTAGCCCCAACATTGCTTCCCAATGTCCCCATACATGGGCAGAACCAGGAACTGGAGAATAAATAATTTATTGAAATTGGAAGAATAAATAAGATATGTGGGCAGGGTTACAAACAACTGTACAAATCATTAACATAATATATACACAGGGGTGCTCCCGGCCCGGGGGCGGGGCCTGCTCCCCGGAGACGCGCGCCCCGAGGTGGACCGCGAGGTGGACGCTCGTTTGCAGCGGAGGCCACGCGCTCAGAGTCCTGCGGGCCTAGGGGGGCGCGGCGGCCCCGGGGCTCCCCCGCGCGCGCCCGCGGAGCTGCACGCCCTGCGCGACCCTCTCCAACCAGGATCGGTGTGCGGAGACGCTGGTGTAGACGCCGGGCCGGTTGCGCTCCGCGCAGCCCTCGCCCCAGCTGATGACGCCGGCCAGCAGCCAGGCGCCGTCCACCTGGCACATCAGGGGGCCTCCGGAGTCGCCCTGCGGGAGAAGAGGGGACGTTAGGGACCCGGGGGCAGGGGTGGGCAGAGCCCGGGACCCACCCCAGGCCGGCGGGAAGGACGCGCCCTCCAGACCCGCTTCCAGCGCACTTCGCGCCCGCCTTGTCCCCTCTACCCCGCATCGCGGTCTCTGTTCTGCAGAAAGAAGAAGCACTGTCCACGCGGGCACCCACGCGCTGCGGAGTCGCGATTACAACCCGGCCTCCCGCGGTCCAGGCCGGTGCTGACTGTCACACCCTCCTGCCACCCTCACCACGGTCGCTGGAGCTGCGGACCGAGACGGGGACCCCCTCAAGACAGCGCCCCCCTCAAGACAGCGCCGGCTCCCGAGATGAGGCAGCCAGGTGCTCAGTGTACGTCTGGTGCCTGCGCAGATCCGTGAACGGCTGGGCCAGGCTGAGGCTGGCCGTAGAGACTGGGGGACTGTCAGGAGGGGCCCAGGGGCAAGGTGACGGAGCCCAGTGGGGACAGGGCTGATGCTGGCTTTCTCCAGCCCCTGAGCCAGTGCGGGAGGCGGGGAGGGTGCTCACCAGGCAGGCATCTCGCTGCCCCTCCAGGTAGCCGGCGCACAGCATGTCCTCGGTGATGGCTCCCTGGCCCGCGCCGCGCCAGTACAGCCGGCTGCAGGTTTCCCAGTCGATGATGGGAACCTTCAGCTTCTGCAGGGTCTGAGGGTGGGGCAGGGGCACTGGGCGCAAAGAGGACAGAGTGAGGCTCGGGGTCTCCCCTCCTAGTCCTCCTCGGGGGACTGTCTCCCTTCCCACCAGCAGTGTTTCTCGAAGGCTAATGGAGCAGCTGTCAGCCTCTCCCAAGCTGCTTTCAGAAAACCCAATTCAGGTCTGCACCTCTGGCCCCACTGAATGAGAACCTGGACGTGGAGCCTGAGACCTGCCTCTGCAATAAGCTCTCTGATGCCCCCCATGGTTCAGAGCCCTGGTCCCAGCTTTTCATGTCTCAGGGGCTGCATCGTCACCCAGCACGGGGACTGCCACGGAACAAGTGTTCAGGAAGTGTCCACTCCCACATTGGATATTGCGGGATTCCCCACGCCCTCCTGGGGTTGGCCTGTGGACCTCTCCAGGTCACAACCAGCTCTCACAGAAGCCCCTAAAAAGGCTGCAACCTCAGAGTCAGGGGGACCCCCACGTAACCCAACTGGTGTCATTTATCTTAATTCTTCTGGAATCTGGTTAAAATCCCATTTTTCTTACACTTTGTCCTTACTTTGTCTCTGTCTCTCTCTAAATCTGTCTCTCCCAGGTCTCCACTGCATCTCTTTCAGCCCCTGTCTCTGCCTGTATGTTTTCTTTCCTTGGCCCATCCCCATCCATCACGCATCTGCCTACCTGTCACCTGCCTTTCTCTTGCCCCGTCTTTGCCTCTTGCTTTATTAAATCTGGTTTGTATTTCTAGATGATGTTTTCCAAACCTGCAGACTTGGTTTGGAAATTCTATTTTACCGTCATGGAGCCTGGATTTCCTCCTGGGAGTTTTGCCTGCAATTGTGGCACGCTGCCACCAGGGGTCCCCATCCCCACCCTGCTCAGGCTCTTCGCATTCAACCGCATTCAGCTCCGCCCCAAACACCTCTCACCCTTCCTATATCAACGAATAGCTTCGTCCATCTGGCTGCTGCTGCTGCCTCCAAACACAAAGATACCTTTGAACAAGAAATGACCCAAGGTTGTCCACTTAGGTCTCTGTGACTTCACATCTCCAGGTCACAGCCCATCTTCTCTTCTGTCTCTGTCATGCTGTGCCTCTGGCCTCTACCCCTTGCTGCTCATGGCACCTGTGTCTCTGAGTGTCTGCCACCCTCGGTCCCCATCCGTCCCCAACCACCTCGCAGGGGAAGAAGACACACCTCCATCTTGGACACTCCCCCAGCCCACAATCCAGCAGTCGGTGTCTGCAGGGAGGTGCACGGAGGGATCCGGCAGGCAGATGGGCAGAATGCGCTCAGAGAACTGGATGGGGTGCTCGAGGCGCACCAGGGCGATGTCCGCACGGGCACCCTCCTTCCAGGAGTACACGGGGTGGGGCAGCACCCAGGCGATGCCCACCTTCTGGGACCGAGGGCCAGGGCGTCCCAGCTGCCAGGCCCCCAGCAGCACGGAGAACAGGGACGGCTTGTCCAGATTCCTGGAAGGGCAGGGGTGGGGTCAGCTGGGAGGGCTCTGGGAGGAGCTGTCTGGGCAACAGCAAGGTTAGGAAGGCCCTGAAGTTGAGAGAGCCTCGGGCAGAACCGGGGTCTCTACCGAGGGGCACCAAGGCTGGACAGAGGCGTGGAAGCGGGGGCTGCGTGGGGAGGAAGCCTGGGTCCCGGAGCGCCATGTGGACCGGCCTGGCTGTACATACCCCTTGAAACAGTGGGCAGCGGTGGCCACCCAGCGGCTGCTGAGCAGGGAGCCGGCGCAGTGGTGGGTCCCGTTCTTCTGGATGCTCACGACCCACGGCCACTCGGCGTCGGCGCTGTCCTGGCCGCCCACTACCCGGTCCAGCCGCTGGGGCTTCCCGCAGGCTGGGGGTGCTGGCAGGGCAGGGCGAGATTCTGTCACTTCCAGCTCCTGGCACCCCCAGGCCACAGGCCGAGCTCAAGCCCTGCCACATCCTGGAGTCTCTCCCTCCCCTGCCAGCTCATCCTCCTCTGTGCTGTCCTTCCGTTGGCCCTTCCCTCCCACTCTGTGACCTCTGGTCTGTCCCCTCCCCCAGGCCACCTCCGCTCTGCCCACCTGCCTGGCACCTCCAGGCCCATCCGTCCTCCTCTTTCCGCCTCCTTCCGCACCAGCACCCCCCTCACCCCAGGCTCCTCGGACGTGTCCCCACGGACAGACATGCGGGCCTGCCCTACCCCCTCCGGCTTTCCTCCCACCACCCACAGCAGCTCCCACTCACCGGGTATCTTGGTGGCTTTGAGGGTGGCTGAGGGTGAGAGAAGGGAGAGTCAGGCCGGCAGGGAGAAGAGCCCCCCCACCCTGTGCCCAGGGATCCCTCAAGTCGCTCATTGCCCCAGGCCCCCCAGGCCTCGCAGCTGCGGCCCTGCCCTCTGCCGGCCCCTGGCCAGCCTGCGTGGTGCTCCTTCTGGCAGCCGGAACGAGGGACTGGACGAGGGACGGGCTCCCCCCAGGGAGGTGGGGAGCACGCCTGGGGAGCACAGACCGCAGCCCAGTAGGGGCCTGGACGCTGCTGCCACCCGGAGCCCTCCCCGCGGCCTCCTGCCCCAGGAACAAAGCCTGCGGACCCCACATGCAAGCCAGGAGGAGCGGGGGAGAGCTGGAAGGACAGGGTGGGAGAGGCTGGCACCCGGTGACCGTGGGCGGCACGCTGAGCCCTACTGTGTGCCAGGAGCGCACCGTATTCTGTCATTCGATCCTCACAGCTCTAGAGGAACGGGGGCTCAGCGGGTTAAGTAGCCGGGGACAGAGAGAACCAAACGGAGGGAACGAGGGTGGAGGGCAGAGACAGGCTCTGGGTGGACAGAAGGGACGGTGTCTGAGCAGGGCAGCGGCCGCCTGCGGGGGAGGGAGGGGCAGCCTGGGACTCACCTGTGGACGCCGCCAGCAGCAGCAGGGAGGTCACGATCCTGAGACGGGCCCCACCCAGGGCTGGGGGGGGTCTGGAAACTGCCATGGCCAGTGGGGGGGGCCCAGCGGGCGGCAGGCTCAAGGGACTCGAGGGCTGTGCTGGTTGGGACAGGCGTGGCGGGTGGCCTGAGTGTGTAGGGTTCCCTGCGGGTCGCCTCAGGTTTTATCCGGGGAGGCGGAATGCCGTCAGACCAGTCTCCCCAGCGGCTCAGTCGCGGCCACCCAGACTGGGGGTGACGGGGCGGGCGGGGCCGTGGGGAGGAAATGAGCTGCAAGGGGACAGGGGGCTTGAGCTGAGGGTGGGCTCAGGCCCAGGCTCGGGGCTATGGGTCCAGGATGTGGCCTCTGGAGGGGCAGGTGAGGGGACCCAGGCCCAGTGGTCCCTGACAAAGACTGCCCGGGGGGCAGAAACGGTCCCCATGGTGTTGAAAGGAAGAGGGTCCGGCAGGCCGAAGGCTGCCATACCAAGTGTTGGGGGTGCCCCGGGGCCTTGGGGGCTGGGGGCTGGCGAGGGGGTGCCTGAGGCTCTGTAACGGCTCCCACTTCCAGGGACCCGGGCCCTGTGACTCAGCCTGGAGACCTGGCCCCACCTGGGGCTCTGGAATCCCGTTAACCCACTTCTGGGAAAGCTGTGAATCAGGCTCGAGTGGCCGCCATCCCTGGAGCCACCCTCCCTGGGGCCACCCTCCAGTTGTCCCTGCGGGTGGGGCTCAGCCCTGTCACTGCACTCACCTCTCACCTGGACTCCCAGGAGGGGGAGGAGCCTGCGGGCACCGGAGCTGGCCTGTGGCTACCTCTGCCAGGAACCCCAGGGTTCAAAGCCTCTGGGCAGGGCGGGGCCGCCGAGAGTGGAGGAGGAGCTGGGGCTGGGGCGGGGCCCACACTTGCCACAGCCCCCTCGAGCAGGAGCAGGCTTCCTCCAGCCAGACAGGCGGCAACTTTAGGTCCATTCTCTCATCTGAGCAGCAAACCTGGGGGTGGGGGTGGCTGTGGCTGGAGGCGTGAATCGAAAAACCATCCTCGAATTTCCTTATTACTCCCAGCCTGCAGATGAGGAAACTGAGGCAGCTCAGGGAGGCTAAGTGACTTGCCCAAGGTCCCCCAACCGGTTAGTGAGTAGTGAAACCCAGATCTGAACCCCAATTCTGCGGACAGCTGTGGGACTAAACTCAGGGGAGCTCCGGCTGGGGGCAGATCACTTTGCACAGGGTCCTCAGTGCTGGGATGGGAGCTTTGGGGAACCTGACCCCAATCGGGGGGTCAGCAAGGGCTACCCAGGAAAGGGACCATCGACTCGGAGCCCTGGAGAAGAGCAAGGTTGGCCCTGCAGAGGCGTGGTGATGGGGGCGGCTCCAGACAGACGGGAGACGGGTGCAGAGGCTCGGAGGGGAGGGACCGGTGGGCCCGACCTCACCCTGACCTCACGTCCTGGAGAATGCAGGTCAGAGCCCTCTGGCAGAGCACCGCAGACGCCTCAGGAGCTCCGAAGCTCTGCTCAGGACATCCAGGCCCTGCCCCGCTGAACCCCATGCTGCCACCTCTGCAGTCTGTCAGGGGTCAGGGTGGCGGCAGGACTGTTGCCGCCAAGGTCAGAGGCAGACTGGAGTCTACTGCCGGCAAGAGCTGCCCTCCCCGCCCAGGGCCGGGCCGAGCCAGGGGCTGCAGGAGCCCCCACTGTTCTCTGTCCCAGGACTCTGAGGGGTTGGGGCACTGCAGGAAAACGCCCGCACATAGTGGCCAGGCGAGGGGCAGCGTCCCTGGGCCTCCTCACTGGCTCTCTTCTAGGGCCCCTGTGCCCTCGGCTGGCCCTGCACCCCATTGCTCCCTAACCCACTCCCTTCTGGAACTGAGGTGGTTGGCCTCCCCAGCTCACTCGGCATTTATTGGGCACCTGCTGAATGCCAGACCCTGTGCCAGGCACCAGGACACACAAAGATGAACAAGACAGGTCCTGCGTTCAGAGACGCACAGCTTCCTGGGGGTGGGGGCAGGTGACTAGCAGATGAGAGTGGGGCCTCATGGAGGGGAACAGAGGCTGTGGCATGGCCCCTGGGGGGCCCCCATGAAGCTGGGCGCTGTGCCGTGGCTCCCTGAGCAGAGGGACAGAGTGCGGAGGGGAGGGTCCCCGTGGATCCTCAGGGTCGTGTTTGGTGCCTGCTGCACATCGGGTCTCAATGGATGTTTGTTAAATGAATAAATGAGCGTGGAAGAGGTGAGTGTGGAGGTGGCTGGGGGACTGATGGTTCCAGTCTCCTCCCTCCCCAGTTTCCTCTCTGTTCCAGCTTTCTCTGCCTAAAACCTGGCTTATTGCCCTGGGGACCCAAGGGGCATGTGCCCTGCCCGAGATGCTGCCATCCCTGGGACGGGGGCCAGAAAGAGGCCCCCAAGGAGAAGGGCCCCACAGGGGCCAGAGGAAGTCCTGTGGAGCCAGGTGAAGACTTCCTGGCACCTGGACCAATTCCCAGGTCGTGGCGGGCAGTCTCTGAAGGGCCACAGGGCAGAGACCCTGCCTGATTCAACATTGATTCAGCAAAATGTTTATCGAGTGCCTACCCTACGCCAGACCCACACCGAGCATCCCAGCTGGGCACCTCTGCTGCGCAAGAGCTGGAGGAGCCGCCCACCCCGCCGCCCACACCAGCCTCGTCTCAGGGCCACTGGTCAACCCGCACTGAGGCAGTGGGGACTTTCGTGCTAGCAGCAGCTGGCAATGCTTACGCCAAAAAGCGACTCCCCCACAGTAGCATGTCAGACGTGCGCCCAGGAGTCAGGAGATACTTTGAACAGGGGAACCTGTCCGTTGTCCCACCAGAGGCTACTAAGCGCCTGCTACTGCACACCAGGGACTGTGCTAAGCCCTGGCGTAGTCAGGGAAATAAGACACTCTCCCTGCATCGTTAACTCAGTCAACAGCGTTTACGAAGCACCAGCTACGCGTCGGGCGCCGTCCTACGTGCTGGGGATACGGCAGTGAGCATGACCGCTGCAAACCTGCCCTTGTGGCGCAGGTGTCAGTGGAGCAGAGTCGAGAGATCAGTGCCTCATGTAGTCTAATAGCTGGTAAAACCGCCGGGGAACGGGAGCAGGCACCGCGTGTGGCGAGGGTGGGGGTTCAAGGCCAGGAGCCCGGGCAGGGCTCTAGCGCAGGCTTGGAGCAGAGACCTGGGCCAGCCGCTGAGCGGCGGCCATGGGGGAGAACATTCCAGCCCCGGCGCAGCCGAGGACTGGGGGCTGCAGGGGAGCAGGGGGAGGGTGCCAGAGGAGGTCCGTGTGCAGCCTTTGCTCCATGAGACCTGGGGGCCCCGGCTGCTCACCCCGCTGGGACCTGGCTGTGGGGAGGCCAAGGAGGAAGTGGGGGGTGGGGGGGTCCCCACAGGCCTAGGAGAGAGTTGACGGGGTGGTGAGAGGGCGGATTCTAGAGCTTTCCCAAGGTCGAGTGGACAGGACCTGCAGGGCCAGAGTGTGGTCTGCGTTCAGGGCGGGGCCAGGCCGGAGGGAGACCCGATGTCCCAGTGTGGAGAGTTTGAAGCCTGGAGGCTGCTGAGATGGCCCGTGGGTTTCGTAGACCTGCAGCGCTGTGCCACATTTTAAAACACTGCATTTCCAGTACTGCTGCTGTGAACACAGATATACACACGTCCATGTGAACCCCGCTGAGACGGACACACGCATAACACGTGAACGTTCACGGCGGTGTCGTTCGCAACACACAGAAGCGGAGACACCGCGTGTCCGTGGACAGACGAATGCACGAACCAAATGTGCTCCCGACACGCAGCGGAATGTTATTTAGCTGTAAAGAGGGACAAAGCACCGACACGGGCCGCAGCGTGGATGAGCTTGAAGACACGAGGCTCAGGGAAAGAAACCGGATGCAAAAGGACAGAGACTGTTCGGATCCGCTCGGGTGAGGCCCGGAACGGTCAGGAGCGCAGGGAAGGGAAGCGGCGCGGCGGGCGCCAAGCTGGGCGGGGCGAGCAGGGATGAGGGGCTGGTGGGGACAGAGCTCCAGTCTGGGAAGAAGGAAATGTTCTGGAGATGGAGGGAGGCGATGGTTGCACAACAGAATGAAGGTGCTGGAAAACGACTCGTGTAAATCTTATGTATATTTTACAACTAAAAACAGAGAATCTGGATTCCCACCTTCTCATGAAAAGTTGGGATCTTCATGGATTGCAGCAACCCCCCCCACACACAACCTGTGACCCTGGCCACTGCACCAGGTCCACCCTGGGTCCTGGGGCATTTGGGTTCTTGCCACGGCTCTTGGAGGGCACAGGGGGTGACGGCGCAGACCTCAGTCCCCTCCTGGGGCGACTCAAGCTCGAGCAGGCAGAGCACTGCAGAGCAGCCGACAGCTCCTCCTCCAGCCCGGACCTCCGCTTGTGCACCTGTGACAGGGACCAGGCAGCGCTGCCAGACCCGTCAGGACCACACGAGAAAGGGCAGCTCAGGTGAGACGGACTGGTGGCCTCGCAGCGAGGAGTGGGGCCGAGCACAGGACAGACTGCACCTTGGCCACCAGCGCTTTCCGGGGCACTAATGGTCGCAGGAGCCTGGCCCGTTTGGCCCAGGGGTGTTGGGGACTGAGACACCGCTGGCACTTCACCACCTTCCCACAATGTCCCTCCTCCCATCTAACTTCACTTCTGAGCTGTCCTCGGAACCTGTTTCCCTGCCAACCTGCCTGTCACTCAGGGCTCCCCTGTCCTCGGAGTCTCCTATGGAAATGTCCTTGGACTGTCCACTCTGAGTGCCAGAACCCTGCAGCCCCTCCCCGCTTCCCAGCCTACAACCGCTTCCTCCGCTTGCTGGAAAAACTCCCATCACCACCACACTGCAAGGACTTGCCCCGGGTCTGGTTAATTTAGTCGATCACAGGCGAGCCTGCAGCCCCTGGGCTTTGCCTGTTTGTTTGCCTTTAAATTTCCTCTGTTAAAGGGCGACGTCGCAGCCGCCGCTGCCAGCGCCCAGGAGCTGGTAGTTAGGGCCAGGCGTGCTGGCGTGCGCCTGCAACCCCAGCTGCTCCGGGGGCCTTGGGGGCTGAGGCAGGAGGATTTCTTGAGCCCAGCAGTTAGAGACCAGCCTGGGCAACACGG